CCATCACCTTTTCCCTTGAGGGCATCATGGAAGCTTAGGCACCACAGAGGAGGCTTCCCAGAACACATGACCCCATTGAGAGGAATGGCCAGCACACATCACCACAGCTCTCTCTGCACGCCCGGTCTCTGTTCCTTGAGGAGGCCTAGGCTGTAGATTGGCCTTGATATTTAAGCTTGACATCATAATCTTCATGATGGTTATGATCATGATCATCGAGACCATCATTGTCCTTGTTATATTTTTTCTTGTAGAGAATAAGGATGGCTTACGGAAATTCCCACACTGGCTAGGAGATTTTTGAGACTCACTAGCCAAGACGCGCAGTGGTGTTTCAAAGCTTTGGAAGTCCATTACTGGATACCAGGACTATAAGAGAGCCCAAATGTAGTGTGATGAAACAGCACCCAACGATCTGATGCAAAGGTACAATTCTAAATGTGAAAGCAAGTTTTCCTACTGAAATATATGTGTGAGGCAGAAATGCTTTGCTTTTATTGATTTATCATTTATCATTTATTTATTTCATAGACATTTATACTCCCCGCTTAGTGCTGGGCACTAATCTGGGTGGTTTATATATATAAAAAGACAGTATGAAATAATATAACAAAAGAAACAACTAATCACATACAAACACATAATGATGATAATAAAATGAAAATATCACTCCATTTGTGGTCTACAGCTTCCAAAATTCCACAGCCAGCCTTTATGGGTACCATGTCTTTTAGTAAGCTTGTCAGAACCTAACTCTTAGGGGTTCTTCCCGTTCTTCCCCTCTTGTAGTTTCTGGTACTAGAGACAGTTAAGCCCTAACTGGATAAAGAGGTGAGTGGCAAGGGAACGACAGATAGGAGGAGGTAGAAGGATGCAGGCAAGAAACGGTAGTGAGGATGAGGGAATGGAAGCGGACAAGAAAAGTCAAGACTGGCAAAATTACCCAAATGGAAGAAACGTCTTCCAGATTCCTGATTCTTGTAGATTTAAGGGGCTGCCTTCCAAGAAGCCACAGAAGATGCCTACAGTGGGTGCGGGTGTGCATGCCAGTTTTGGAATGTTATCATTTGAAACACTCCCCCAATCCCATCCCTGGTACCAGGTAGCTGCAAAGCCCTGCAGTGATAGCACTTGAACTCTGTTTTCTGCAGAACTACCCATTTCCTTCTCTGTTACTGTAAATGGTCTGATGCGCTATCAGAGCAACAATAAAACTAGGAAACTGTATTTGAAGTTTGTTAATCTGTAATTGCTGACAGATAAATGCTGCAGTTGCAGAGAATCTTTCTGACTCATTCATTCCATTCAGATGGAGTGAACAGCTCTGATTCCCTTCCGTTGCAATGGGCATAGGTCATGATGATGTGATCATTCCTTTCCCATGTGGCTAATATTGAAACTGGCGAATAATGATTTCATTATTGTAGCTACTCGCTTTTCCTAAAGCCTTATATAATATTAAAGACATCAATAAAGTCAGTCTAGCATAGTATTGTGTAGGAGGGTTTGAACAGTAATATCCACCCACCCACCCATCCACCCACCCACCCATCCATCCATCCATCCATCCATCCATCCACTGCTTTGGGAGGTTTACACAAGACACTTAAAGATATCAAATATTAATCCCAACTACCCCCTACATCACCCACAAGTAAAGTAAAAAACAAACCCAAGTTAGATCAAGTTTAATCAAACTGAGTCATGTGACGCAACTGCTTTCAACTTAGAAACAGAATTTGTAGGATGGGGGCCAGAAGTTCCCAAATGGCAGGCGGCGGATTTGTTTGCAAAACTTTGTAAGGGATTCTTGGACCCTTAAAACAAACTGGAAGTGGTTTACACAGGTCCTGTATTGTTCAAGATGGAACATCCCTCTTCTCTTTTCTTTGTCTTTTTTCCTCCCACCGATGGACCAGACTGTTTGAGGATTGTGCAGGTTTGACTCCAGGAAGGGCCTAAGTGCTGAAGCAAAGTTCTTTCGCCCTTAGTGCAGGGGTCGCCAAAGGGCCTCTGAGGCTTCTTTATGGGCAAGTGAAGAGTCCTGAGGGCTGTCACCTCTGACGCCCCACCACGGAAGTCCACGCAGGGTCCACTAAAGAGCTAAAAGTTCTCATAGTGGTGCACAAAATAGGTTTGGTCGTGCTTGTTGATCTTCTGGCATGCTTTCTCCACGTTCTTAGTCATGCCAGGTGGACCACAGCTGAACACACCGATCTTCTTCACCTGAAAGCAAGATGCCAGAAGGACTTTTAAACACATCAGAATGAAAAAACAAACACACCCTGTCCCCTGGTCAAACTCTCTGTTCCATGTTATGCCTAGAAACACAGTTAGACAAAACCTTGCTCTAAATATATAGCGGAAGTGGTGAGCAGTTCTCCTTTAGATGGGTTGCCATTTTTGAATGCTCCTCTATGTTAAAAATAAATAGTATAAAGGGAAAGTCAGTTATATGAAATCACACAATATTTACCCCATCTTCACTGAATAGCCAGATCTTTGGTCCAGAGCTGCAACTCACCACCCAGGGCAAAGGGCATCATCTCCTGCTACTCTGCCCTGAACCATGAGTCAAAACCCCCTCCATCTCAAAGAAGCAGGAAGAGAATGTGATGTCCCCCCCCCATTAATATTTTTAATGGGCAAACAAATCGGGCCAGGAGCTGTTGCTGTTCATATTTCTGACACTCACCAGCAGCTTCATTTCTGGATTTCAGCACCCTCTATATTTTGGTGCCCCAAAGCAAAGCCCCCCCCATGTTGTCCCACCCCTGGCGATATCCTGTTTTAATCGGAGATATCAACTGAGATCTCTGCCGTGCAAGAGTGTGGGCCTGACGGTTGAGAGAAAGCAACCAAATTTTCATGCTGTGTAAAAGCTTGCAGATTAAAGATGAAGAATCTGACCCAGCCCACTCCTTGCAATGCTAGATCTCTGCGTCTGTGGAATTCGATGCTTTTTTTAATGGATAGAAGCAATAAAAAATGCAAGGGGTGGTACTGTTCATTCTACCACCCCGAACTCTGTGGTTTAGGGATCTGGCTGCAGGGCCAGTGGTTGGCAGTTCAGTTCCCCACTGTGCTTCCCTGAGAGGGGCTGGACTTGATCTGTAGGGTTCCTTTCAACTCTGCAGTTCATTCTCTAGAGATATAGTAGTGCCTCGCTAGACGATGTTAATCCGTTCCATTGAAATTGCTGTCTTGTGAAAACATAGTCTAGCGAAAAGCATTTCCCCATTGGAATGCATTAAAACCCGTTTAATGCATTCCAATGGGGAATATAGTCGTCGTCCAGCAAAAATTGCCCATAGGGAAGCCATTTTGCGAAGTGCCCCTCAGCTGTTTAAATCGCTGTCTTGTGAAGCATCGGTCCCAAAAACACCCATTTTGTGAAGATCACCCATAGGGAAGCCATTTTGCGAAGCCGCCGATCAGCTGTAAAAATTGTCGTCTTGCGAAAAAACGGTCTGCGAAGCACGGACCAAATCATCGTCCAGCGAAATCCCCCATAGGAAAAATCATTTTGCAAATCACTATAGCGATTGCAGAAAGTCAATGGCTAGCAAAAAAAAAAAGTTTTGTGGGGTAATCGTCTTGCGAGGTACCATTGTAACATCTAAGCCATACACTCTCACCTTCTAAATACAGGCTGAACGCCTGCTGTTGAGCCGAGCGAGTCACACTAGAAGAGGCCAGTTTGATTCAATGGAACTCATGGAGGAGTTGACTCACCAGGTCCCCACTGATTTAATGGGCAAACTCGAATGCGAATTACTGTGCTAAGCAACAGAATTTTAGCCACCGATTGTTAGAAACAGCCGCTCCAAGTCTGCTTCGGTGCGTGTCAGCGCAATCGAGCACGTAGGAAATTAAGCCGTTTCTCTCCCCCCCCCCTTCATGCTAGAAAAAGCATCTGTCTGGTTGGTAGGCTGTTCTTACAGGTACAGAAGATGTATATTGGGTGTCGCTCCCTTCCCTGCTGTAAACACAATGGTGGTATAGCTCAGTACAGGTGTACATAAAATTATGGCCCAGTGAATTTAATGGGACGGATACCCAGCTAGATGGGATTATGATTGCGACCTTTCTATGCAAATCAGGGATCTCAGCAAATAAAGGAAGGGCGTGCAATATTTGCTGTCTTGACATCCAAACGCCGCTGGATTCCCATGGCTGCGTTTCCCGTAAATTACTGTAGTGTAATTCAGTGGGAAATTTCTAGCTGTTAATTTTTTACATGGTATGTCAATACAATATGGAGCTCGCCAAGGAGGAAGAAATTTAGCTCGTGATGTCGTCAAGTGCTCCGTCTGTGTTTCCAAACACATCTTGGATGTGTTTGGAAAATCCAACTAAAAAAAAAATCATGTTTTGCTACCTACTCTTTCTAGAACAGCTTCCCACTAACTGGGGCTGGCCAGTCTTGTCAGATACCAGGGCAGGTTATGTTTGCTGCTGGGGGCAAAGGGCTGTGTGGCATTCCTTCGCTCCTGCACTGCATAAAGAGAAGGTGAGCACATTCACACGATCCACTAATAGCAGTTTGATATTGCTCTAGCGCTCATGGAGTCTCCATCTTATGGAGTCTTCGGAATTACAGTTTGGCAATATACCCTGCTTTCATTTGGGAAAGCGTGCTAGAGCTCTCCGGCAGAAAATTCCAAGATCCTCACTAAGCAACCTGTCCCAAAATATTATAGGATGGAGCCATCGTGGTTCAAGCAGAGTCGAACTGCAATAACTTTATAGCGTAGATATTCTCTGCCTGGAATTGCCAGTTGCCTCTTACTTCAACACCTTCGGTGACCAGATGTTCTTGGACTAAAACTCCTAGAAGCCTCGCTGTGCTGGCCATGATTTCTGGGAGTTGTAGTACAAGAACATCTGGGGATATGAGTTTGGGAACCACTGCTCTACTGTATCAAGTAGCTATACTGGTTACCTGGACATTCCTCAGCCCAAATTTGAAAGTGCTACAAGTTCTGTTTTTGAAAATATTTCATACAAAACAAGCCAACCAACCAACCAACCAACCAACCAACCAGAGGAAGATCTGGAAGAATTGTTAATGTATAAAACGCACGGCAATGTGGAGCAATAGTTATAATGGGATAAGTCAGCTTCTTAGGTTCTCTTAGAAAGCCCACCTGGCATGCATGAGATTCCTTTTCCTCCAGTAAAGCATCATACACAACTCAGTCCACAAACATCACCCTATATCTGTTGGTTGCACTGACCTCAGGATGGACCTCTTGCAATGAGCAGAAGAAGGGGAAGAATGGCGGCCGCCCAAAGTGAGTGATGGAGCGCAGGCCTGTGAACAGGCTCTTGTTGAGGACTTTCTGGAAATGCCGCTCGCAGATGTACTGGAAAGAGAAGTCAGAAGTCAGCAGGAACCATTAGCAATGTTGGAACAGAGCCCAAGTTATCTGCAGGGGAGTGGAAGTGTGTGGGATAGGCAGACAAATAGCTGGGTGTGTCCTTTCTAGATCTATAGACAGCTTGTTACTCCTGGGCCTCCTTCCTTCCTCTGACATCCCTTCCTGCTTTGTTTTTCCTTATAGTTATTTGGGTAAAGAAGACTGGCAATCTACTTTTCAAGGGGAAACAATAGTGGAGAAGCTTGGAATATCTTCTAGGTCAGGAGGATGCCATAGTGAGCCACTTCTTCAGACCTTTCCAACGTGAGCTACTTTTGACAGTTTCTCAGAACTTTTTTCCATGACAAGAGCTTGAAAAGTCTGGCCTACCTTCTCCAACAGATCGCAAGAGAAGTTACATACATATACACTTTATTGTTACAGCATCGAACCGTATAAATAAAACAAAAATTAAATGCAGAGCTTGAAGTACTGACATATACTACAAAAAGCCAAGACCTACCTTCTCCGACAGATTGCAAGAGAAGTAATCTTGTTTCAACTCAAAGTAGTACCAGGGCTTTCTTTCCTGCATCATTGAATATTATGAGTTTGGTATAAATAAAACAAAAATTAAATGCAGAGCTTGAAGTACTGACATATACTACAAAAAGCCAAGTCAAATAAGCAAAAGACAATAAGACTACTACAAGATTCGAGGAAAATATATTACACCTCTCTTAAAAGACATGACAAGCCGGTCAGACTCGGACTACTGTAACCAATTGTTAATAGATCAAAATTGGATTACTACAGAACTGGTAGCGAAATTTTGGCTGCAAGAGAAGTAATGTGGTTTCAACTCAAAGCAGCACCAGGGGTTTTTATTTCCTGCATCATTGAATATTATGAGTTTGGGACTTACCAGCATGGTGGTACGCAGGTCAAACTTCTCAGCCAGCTGGGTGATATAGATGTGCACCGAGACCAGATCACGGCTGTCGTTCTCTTCCACCTCGCGGATGATGTCAGCCAACCACTCAAACTGGCGCTGCGTCCGGGTCACCCAGATGAAATAGATCTGGGAACAACGGAGACATGGGTCACTGCCAGAAGCCCTTGGTGGGGCACCTACTCCTGCCAGCTTCGCCACCACCTCGGCCAGGGTCAAGCTCTCAAGATATTTCAGGGACCTCCCTTGGTCCTGAGGCGTCTTGTCCTCTGGGGCATTGGCAGAGAACGGTGCCCCCGATCAACAATGGAGGTGGAGTTACCTCCCAGTCCAGTTGGCCTGTGAAACAGCATGGGAGGAAGCCCCCCCTCCTGTTCTTTGCCTCAGGCAGCAAAAACACTTTGGCCTGGTCCTAAATTTGGGAATATTGAGCATCCCATGATTTAGAAATACCCACAGGTGCTTCTGGTAATAGCCTGGGATAAATAAAGTGATATATAACATGGCCAATATTAAGGGATGATGGAAGCTGGGTATAGCTTCAGGCAAATTTATTTCTCTTCACCTGCTATTTTATCTCTCTTATTAAAATCATTCCCCCCCCCCAAAAGTAAAGCCCATGTTCTCCTACAGAGCTAGAGGGTTTCTCCCAGAAATAACAGGAAGAGCGCTTTTGGAGAGAGACAGAGAACCAGAAACTGTTAAGCTTCAAAATATTGCGTAGAAATGATCCTAATGGAAATATATATATTTTAAAAATAAAATTAAGAAAAACTTAAAAAAAGAGAAATGCTCATAATGAATGGATGGGAAATATATATTTTTTTCTTTAAAAAAAATAAAATTAAGAAAAACTTACAAAAAGAGAAATGCTCATAATGAATGGATGCCATGAGAAATATTCGCAGAGCTGCTGTTTTAATGACTGAAATAACAGGTTAACTTTTTTTTTTAAAACAAAGGTGATGAATCGGGGCAATGAACAATTTTTTTAACAAATTACTTCCAGGTTCTGTGCATCCTCCACTAATAACTCCAAGAAGTATACTAGTAGAACCTTAAAGCTAGACATCACTGTCCATTAGCACCGGATGGTGAAAACCCAGCCGCCTCCCTGTTCTTTCAGAGATATTTTATGAAATCAGCAAAAAAAGTTAGCAATGCTTGTTACTCCTAGGCCTCCTCCCTCCCTCTAAACATCACCTCCTGCAGTGCTTTCCCTTATAATTCTTAAGGTAAAGAAGACCGGCCATCTACCGTCCAGCCTCACCTTTTTACACAGGATCCGGGAGCCGACGGAAGACTTGAACACAAGGTCCTTGAGGATGGAGGCAAACGGCGTCACCCCGATGCCTCCTCCCACCAGCACTGAGACCTCAAACTTGTTCCACTCCTGGTGCCCCTCCCCAAAAGGTCCATCAAGGTAAAGCTGCAAAAAAAAGGCAGATATGAAATGAAGACAAAGGAGACTTCACTGCTCCCAAAGCAGAGATGGGAAAGCCTGGTCAGGAAGAGCTGATCAGGGAATTTGGGAAGTTTTTCAAGAGCAAAAAGGAATCCAAAGAAATCTCACTTAGCTGCACTGATCAAATTTAAGTGGTACAGTCCTTCCCACCACATACAGGATCATGTTGCACCTGTCTGCCTGGGGCTTGCGGACAACTTTAATTCGATACGAACAGGCTGAAATGCACAGGGATTCCAAAGCAAACTTGTAGGAATTAAACACACAAAGCCATTTGCCGGGAGGAACCCACTTGTCTGGTTTGGTTTCTGCCCATATTGAGATTTTAAAAAAACTTCTCAAGTCTAGAGTATGAAGAATTTTGCAAATTTTGGGGGGAAAATCTTATTACGAATGAGCTGAAAAGATGACATTCTTCCTTCCTCATTTCTCCCTTTTCTGTAGGTTTGGGAGTTGTACTTTTATATTTTGAAAAGAAAAGAGTACCGAGAAGCAGATATAACAGCTCGAACCAGAAAGTATAAGTCTTCTTCCATGTGCTTTAGCGATCTATCCACCGAACATAGTTATGTCTCCTTTTCTTCTGCTACTATTAAAGATAATGCCGGAGCAAACCAAGGCAGTCTTACCTTTGGGTATTTGCCAATTTGCGCTATGCTTTCTGGGGAGTAGATCTCCCTCAGGCGGGTCGTCCAGGGTCCAACCGCTCGGATGTGCAGGCTCAGCATGTCTTCATGAGGGGCGGAGGTGAGAGTAAAGGGGTGGTACTCGTTGGTCCCCAAAGAGAGGCAGGCGATCCGGACCCATTGCCCAGATCTGTAGTCAAAATCTGGAGGCCTTTGGAACTGCAGGTTAGTGACACCTGAACCAAGAAAGAAGGACTTTCTGAATGCTGGCAATTTAACACCGCAAGTTGGCCAACTTATTTCAAACAGCGACCTATTTTTAAGAGACCACGGATATTTTTGAGGAGGGAATAATTTTAAGAACCGTTGACCGCCAGTGGTTTGCCGGCACATTTCTGAAGCGCAGGTTCTCGTCCTGACATTTCCCACAGCCACCGTCCCACAGAATATCTGTCCCAAGATATTGTACCTGATGGGAGACATTCGGCCTTCAGCACCCCGATTTCCACTTTCTTCCTGCTCAGGCTGATGAGCTTGTCCGCTCCATAGAGCAGGGCGGGGGCGATGAAATAAACGTGGAAGCGTGGTTGCTGGATCAGAGCATAGCTGCCATGGAGGATGATCTGGAGGACACATTACCCAGTACTTCAGTCATTAGTGTACCAAGCATGGAGCGGTGAAGAAAGTTTCTTGTTTTATACTTATTCTTAAGCCAAGAGTTAAATCTTTCACTAGAAAGTCTTCATCAACATATCAGCCTGTTCTAAGTGGAGCCCCACCATTAAACTGACCCTTCTTTTCTGCATTCCAATCATCATCTGAGCACAATGGCCAGCATCCTATTGTTAGTTCCACCTAGAGTAGACTATTGGCTTAGTTGCATTCATGCAGCAACTGATTGAATGAATCTACTCTTAATTGGGACCTGAATGTTGGCGGAATGGATTCCAAACTCATAACCCACTTCCTAAAACCATCTGTTGCAATTATTTTATTTTATTTATTTATTTATTTATTAAATTTATACCCCGCCCCCCTAGACCATGTCTACTCGGGGCGGCTTACAACATAAAATAAATCAATATAAAAATATATAATCATAAAAATACAATTGCAATATTAATTAAGACAATTAATTTAAGAAAGGATTACCAAGATGGGCTAGAATAAGAAAAGAAGAGAAAAAAGAGACTTAGCTGACTGGAGGGAAGGCCTGCTTAAATAGCCAAGTTTTTAACTGGCTTTTAAAAATTATGAGTTAACTATACAAAGTGGACTCCTTCATATCAATTCCCACCCACCCCCCCGCCTATCGAATGCAGGTTTTCTCATTTGTTCAGTCTGCAATACAGTATCTCCATGCAGGTGCTCATCTTCAAAAACCCTCAAGCATTCTGTATCGTTCACATCATCGTGATTCTACCAGGAAAGAGGAAGAATTCAGAGGTCGGGTTACCAAGATGTAGAGAATCACGTAGAGATGGTGAGTGATCCAGAACCCCTGGAAGCTAATTCGCCGGAAGTGATGAGTTGCGAAGACGTACATGATGGCGAGGACCACCAACAGCAGCACGCCTGTCATGCCTGCAAGAGAAGGCGAAGAGAGGTGAAAAGAGAGGGGCGTGGAGGACCTCTTCAAGTAGAAGACCCACAGGTGAGGTCCTGCTGCACTCTCAACTTTCATGTTTCCTTACCTGGGACAGTCTCAAAAAACCACCAGTAATATTTGGGAGGCAATTGTGACCTGGAAAAGAAAAGAAATCACTGGCATGACAAAAGGTCTTGATAAGTATGAGACGGACAGAATGAAGCTAAAACAGCTTCTCATTTGAGGCAGATGCACAACTGACTACATGCAGAAATGAGCAGCTTTGGTGACCAGGATTTCAAGTTGCACGTTTCCAACACAAACAATCCATAAATCAACATTCAATTGGTAATTCCAACCAGAGAAGACTCATTGATTCAATGGGATTGAAATAAGGATGACCTGCCATTCAGCAATTCATTCAGTGGGTCCGTTCTCAAGATGAGACTAGCAAAAGGTCACAGGCTATAGAAGTTGCATGTACATGCACTGTTGGGTTTATGCATGGTAGATGCTGCCAAGACACATCTGACGTATGGTATGTGAGATACTGAAGAAGTGGTTTTACCCCTTCCATGGTCCCCCATGAGGTTTTAGGGTCAAGTGAGGATTTGAACCCAGGATGTCAGCCCTAGTCTGTCACTCTATCCAGAACGCCACAAAGGGTATGGCTGCAAGATTGATAGAAATGTAAGGGAATTTCTGATCACTGAATTACCATTATCACTTGAATGGGAGGATACCGGAGAATACTGGATGCTGTACCATGAAAGAGTTGTTGGCCAGTAGTAGAGCTCATGATTTGCATGCAGAAGGTCCCAGGTTCAATTCCCAAGGTTGATGTAGTAGACAGCGCAAAGGAATAGGACTCTGGAGACCAGGGTTCAAATCCCCACTTGGTCATAGAAACTCACTGATGGTGTGGAATTGGCAAAACCACTCCTTAAATATCTCATTTACCTTGACAACCTTATCAGGGTTTCTATAACTCTTGGCTGAAGGCCTTGAGGGTCCCTGCTGCCAGTCTTCTATAACTCCTGGATGAAGGCCTTGAGGGTCCCTGCTGCCAGTCAAAGTTGAGAATACCAAGTTAGATGAATGAATAGCTTCCTGTGTTCCCCATAACTCCACTTGAACTTATAGCAACCCAACATGGAGAGAAGGGCTGAATGTGCCAATACCAAAAAAGGAGCTTTGGGCTTACCATGCCATCATGAAAGCTCAAGCCAGCCCAAATCCCACACCTGGTCTAAGGTGACTGCTTAGTCCTTCCTCCCATGCTCAGGTGTTTGAGGAACCCAACCCAACTCAACTCTCTCCGTTGAATTCTGGAGCTCTTCCTTCTGATGGAGAGGAAGGGCATCGCTACTCACCCGTCATTCACAAAGACGTGTGAGAAGAGGCAGGCCAGGATGCTGAGTGGGGTGACGGAGAAGATGTAGACGTTCACGACATGGCCCAAAGTATGCAGAACTGCCGGAAGCAAAGGCAGTGAGAGAATATATTTATGGGGGGGGGGGG